GGGTCCGTCACCTTTTGTTTGTTGTTTTTCTATCTTTTTTTTTCCTTCTGCTGGTGGTTCTCTTGCTGCTCTCAGTCTCCGCACGGAGAAATGGACCTCCTCTCACGCCTCTATGCCGCTCCCACCCTCAGCCGTGTGGCTCTGCGTGCCCACTGGTTAGGCACATGGAAAGGGACAGCGAAGCCGAGCAGCACGCAGCCGTACCGAGTGGGATATAAACGGGGCGTGGGCGAGAGGAGGGCCCAATTGAGACGAAACGATCATATCTTTTTTTTTCGGGTGAAATATGAAGTCAACTTTGGGAAGCCACGCACCGCCACACGACACGCAGCGGCTTCTTTAATTTTTTTTGTTTGAGAGAAAAAAAAGTAAGCGGGGGACGTAATGTGTTTTGCTTTTTTCTTCTTGGGAGATTTGCGGGGGCATTTGTGCATAATGGAGGACGTTATTATTATTTAACTAAATATTGTTTTTTTTCGTGGCGTGCTGCTGCTTGGGCGGCGGCGCCATCACGAGTTTTGCTAGTTTTATTCTTGCTGCTCTGCTGGTTTGCCGTGCGCCTGGGCACGCTCGTATCCTTTCTGTCTTTTTTCTATTTTCGTTGCGCACCGCCTGCAGGCAGACAAAAACAGAACTAATCGGTATGTTTCAGTGCGAGTCGACAGCCCCTGTTTGTAGTCGGTGCTTCCCCCTTTGGTGGCGATGAAGAGAATAGAGGGGCAAAGGGCGGGGGTGCGTTGTGATTCCTCCACTCTTTTTTTACTTGCGAGCGCGGGGCGCTGCGTGTGGGAGTGTTGTCTTGAAGCGCGGCGCCGCCAACTGCAACAGTGCGGCACGGGGTGGGCGACTTCTTTTGTCTGAGTTTGCTGCAGCTGTGGGTGTGTCCGCGCGGGGGCTTTGTCGTGCCCCGTCTTTGGGCCTTTCTTTTGGGCTGTGTGGCCTGGTGGCGACAGTGGCGGGGTGTTTTTTGCCTCCATTTTCATGCGTTGCCGTGGCGGAGCCTTGCGGGGGCGTGTGGCCTAAGAAAGAAATGCAGAAGATTGTGTGGGGCTTACCGGGTAGTGCGGTGGCCGCAGAGTGGGGCTGCCGTTTCTGCTCTTGCAGCGGGGAATATGCTGCCGCACTCTTTTTGTTGGTTGCGTCGGGGGCAAATGTGCCGGCATCCTGAGAAACTGCGGGTTCCGCCGCCACGGCGACTGAAGGAAGCGGAGACGTCTGCGGCTGCCTTCGCAGGCTGCACCCCGTGCGGCCCAGTCGCGTGGCAAACAGTTCCCTCGCGGAATTCACGTGCACCGCACCACGTGCTGGGCGCAGCGTGTATTTGCGTCGCGGGGGACAATGCGGTGGTGTCCATTCTCCTTTTCACGGGGAACAGGCGGCGGGTGTTCTGCTCCTTCGCACCTCAGCGAATTGCAGCGCAAAATGCCACCGCGACGAGGCAGTCAATTTCACTGTGAGTGGGTGATATCTACGTGTGGCTACGCACACACGGAGTTGTGGGGATCCGAGTGGCGAGTGCAATACGAGAAGAAGATAGAAGCCTCGTCGCAGTTGCCGTGTGTGCCGTGCAGTTTGCATGGTTTACCTGGGGAGATCTAATTTGCCCTCGTTTGTGTGGGAGGGTGCCGTGATGCATCACGCTTGCGTTGTGTGCGGGATTGGGGGGTGCCTGTGCGTGTTTGTGTGTGAGGTGTGCGCCGCGCGCCTTGTGTGTGGGTGGCCCTCTCTCTTTCTTGTTGCGGCTGCGTGGGGTCGTGTCTCTGCCTGTTTTTTTTAAATAATTTCATTCTCCCTTTTGACTGCTGGTTGAGTATTGTGCTGCAGTTCAACTCAAGTTAACCACCACGAAGGAAAACATGTCTGATAGACGCGAGGGAGAATCTCACGCCGCCGAGGAGCCCCCTGCAACTAATGTGCCGCAGGGAGGGGGACGTCGTGCCCGGATCGGGGCTGTCCGCTGAAGGAAGTCGTTCAGCAAAATTATAATGATTTGGCCAACCCGTACATTACGGACATCCCCAATAGAGCCTGCAAGCGTCCTCCTTGGCCGCTGCAGCGCTCCCTTCACCCTTCGGCGCTCTGTGGGGGGCTCATACGAGCCGCCAGGCAGCCTGACCCCGACAAAAGCCGCTCTTGTAATAGAGAAGGTAGGGAAGATCTTGCACCCCTAAAAAGCCTCACCCACCTGTTTACGGACATCATTCCCTTATTATTATTATTGTTTTGCTCGC